GAACTTCATTTGGACAACTTTAAAGATGATTTTCTCAATATTTAGATTTTTTTGCACCCTCAGATTCCAGATTTTCAAATAGTTGTATCTCAGCCAAATATTGTCCGATCCTAACAAACCATACATCAATGGAAAGATTATTTATTCAGCCTTCAGATGATGTATAAATCTAAATTTCGGAAAATTTACTCTTATTTACTGCTTTTTTGGTCTTCTGGTCATTTCTTTGTCATTTTTCTATGCTACAATTTTGCCTTCTCCTCTCACAGGCCAAATGACAGACCCAGAGAGGGAAGAGAGGGAGCTTGTCCAGTCCCTGAAGGAATACATTGAAGCAGAAGAGTTGAAACTCGAGAGGTGAGTCAGGTGAGTCTTTCACTAGAATATATGACTGCACATGAACCAGTGACTCATCTGTGTTTTTTTTTTTGTCCATCTGCTGGCTTCAGCTGGGCTAATAAACTGGATATGTTGACCCGTGCATCCACGTCGGACCCTGAAGGCTTCCTGGCTCACCCGGTGAACGCCTACAAGCTGATGAAGAGACTCAACACCGAGTGGTCCGAGTTAGAGAGTCTGGTGCTGCAGGACCCGTCCGATGGTACAGTATATCAGCTTTCATCACAAGTCATGGAAGATTCAACTTTGAGAAAATTGTAATGGGAAATGTTAAAATCAAAAAATGGTCAGGATTGGACTGTAGATTCATGATAGTTGAATGTTTTTTGACACTATAATTTTGTGTTTTTTTTTTTTTTTGGGCATTAATTTTTCAGCTTCCTTTTGAGATATGACAAGCGGTTGAATTTTTTTTGACACTATAATTTTGTGTTTTTTTTTTTTTTGGGCATTAATTTTTCAGCTTCCTTTTGAGATATGACAAGCGTTTTAGGCTGAAGCAAATGTTGAACATGTTTGAACTGGTGTAAGGTAGAGTTCCCAGACCTGGCAAAAAAAGAAATACAAGTAATATCCTAATAAGTACTGTATATAAAATGTTGTATACGTTATCTGTACACAGTTTGGAATCATTAAGATTTTTTTGAACGATGTTGCATTTATTTGATTGAAAATACAATGAAAAGTACTCTTTTGAAATACTATTACAATTTAAAGAACTGTTTTCTATTTAATATATTCTATTGCATTCTTTATTACATTCTTCACGTTTACATATGTTACTTTCAGAAACTTAAAAAAACACTTGATGTTTGATGTTCTCTGTATCTTACACATTTCCATATCATGGCATAATGAATGAATAACTCCAACTGCTATAAATTTATCCATATTCATACAGTGTACTCACATAAAGCAAAATATACTATATAGCAAATCTCAAATGCTTGATAGTTTTTATATGGCAATGACATTAACAATCCGATCGCCTAGCTCTAAACTGCAAAATGTGGACTATTGATGATTTTCTGTAAAGCTTTTTTGAACAATGTGAAAAGTGCTATGCAAATAAAATTGAGTTCTGTGTAGTGAAATGTGTGTGTGAAGTCATCGCAGACGCTCATTTATTTTCATTGCCTAATGTGAACTTGTGTGAACATGTGTTGCAACATGTTGCCACGTGGAGTTCTTGAGAATGTTTCCACTTAAATGAAAGTCATGCAAGGGATGATAATGTACAGTCATTGTCACTGGAAATAATCAGGACCCCAACATGATGCTGATTATACATACAAGTATATAAAATACATAGAGACTTAAGGTGTAGTTCACCCAAAAATGTATAGAGTTAAACTTTCATTATTCAAAAATATTTAACTACATGATACTGCTATTATCCAATGAGAATCATGCACTCCAAAGCGCTGTGTCTTTATAATCAGGGATTCTCATGCCTTAAGTCATGTGTATTAAAAAGCTCTTATTTTTTTCTTTTCTTCTGAAGGCTTCATATCAAACATGTCTGTGCACAGACAGTATTTCCCTGATGAGGAGGACGAGAAGGGAGCAGCCAAAGCGCTCATGCGTCTGCAGGACACGTATAAACTGGACTCGGAAAGTTTCTCCAAAGGCAAACTGCCAGGTCAGAAGCAACACTCTGGTAACTCTTGTTTTCACATTTCGTTTTCATTTTGAGTCCTTCAGTTAAAGACACTGTGATAAACAGAGACTTGTCATTGCAACACTTTCAAAAGAGGAACAAATCAAATACATCCTTACTATCAGTGGGTTTCTGAGACTTAAATAGAGTTTTTTGCTGCTGAGGCAGTAGTTTTGACATTCTGTTTGTAAATGCATGTGCTTAATTTAGATTTTTTTTTTTTTGTCATTTTGAAATGGGAATGGAACCTTGATTTGGTCATTAGGGGCCAAGCATCAATGGGTAGGGCCAATAGACGATGCCAGTGCAATGCATGCTTTCAATTTCCGCACAGTTAATTCAAATTAATTTTTTTTCTGATTAGGTAATAATAACTTAATGAAGTTGTTCCCGATCACAATATAAATTACATTTAAAACAGCTCAATTAACACAATTTAAACCATAAAGATTTTATTGTGCAAAAAACGCCAAACCAATTATGGGCTACTAGATGTTTTAAATCAAGTTAGTGGGTCTTCTTCTTCATCAATAGCCATTTCCTGTCGGTACATCGACATCTCTGTGTCACTTTTTTGATCAGTGGTTGCTGTAGCTGCTCTTTTCCCAAGGAGTCTGCCCAGTGAACCCTTTTTCTTAGGCGCAGGAGATTTTCCTTTCTTCTGTTTTCCAGTCATGTATACTCTCCCGCAATGCCTCTTCCAGGCTGTCGGCCGTATGGCTTTCTGGCATGAAGCTTGTTTGTAAGCATTTCGATTCCAGTGTCCACTCTTTGCTGACATAATGTGCGGTCACTGACTGCATGATCTGCGGTCTTCCAGAAGAATTTCCGACCTGGCAGCTCAACACTGCTTGTCAGATGTTTGCAGCATGGCCTTGAATGCGCTCTTCTCTACCGTATTAACAGAAACCATTTCTTTTGCTGGGTAGCGAGTTACAGCATCAGTACACTGCTTCCATTTTTCACTGTCACGCTTGTACTTTTGGCAAAAGTCCCAGAAATGGTTGGTTGGTCCCTAGCTGTTTTACCAAGTTCAGTTGTGCGTGATGGCATGGGCAATGAACTGTGTTCCGCAAGATGGTGCAACGCAAATGGTCATGTAAACACATCTACACATCTATACTCCATACCAGGTGGTATTTTGTCTGGTTCTGGGTAAAACAAAGAACATGCGGGTCGGATCGTAGGTGTTGGATAAAATTAAAATAGTCTAATAATAATTCAATTTAATGTTTTAATCCTCTGACATCTGCTCCGTATCGCTCCTTAGTGGTCAGCTGCTGCAGAGCGTGCCAAAACCGAAATTGCTGATGAGATGAAGACGAAAATATCTAGTGGAAAATGAGACTGTTGCATTTTTAATGATATAATTATTTTCATTGTCCATCGCGCAAGATGTTTCATTGTTGACATTGCCCGACACTAGTACGTAGGCACCTATTGTATTTGTTAGTCGTCATCGTCTTCCTCTTTCTCCGCATTTGAGTCTATGGCAGCCCATAGAACAACTTGCGAGAAAGTTATGAAATTTAGCACACAGATAGAGGACAGTCCCAACATTAACCACAGCTAATTTGGAGTCTCTAACTCAAACCCTCTAGCGCCACCAACTGTCCAAATTTGCACTCATGTTTATGCTAATAACTTGTGATAGAAGTCTAGAAGCAAAATTCTTTTTTCCTCTGATTCTTTGACTCAAGATGATTCGATTGCTTTGTCATTTTCAGTGCAATTGCATGACATCATTTTCCATCATTCCATTTTGAATTTTCAAAAAAAAAAAAATTTTTTCCGCTAAAATCTAACCAGATCATCTTCAGACCATTCTGACAAAAAGTTATCAAATTCAAGTTGATTAGTCAAACTGTTCTTGAATAACGCATTAATTAATTTTTTTTAAAGGGCTCACCAAAGTGGATGTGAGGCTGTGACTTGGCAACTCTTTAGCATCTTGAGACCAAACTTGATGTTATAATAACCACGACCTGAGGCTACCTGCAGTTTTGGCACAATACCACCTAGTGGTCAGGAGATATGAAAAATGGCTATTTTTGCTAATAACTTCTAAACGGTTTGACCAAAAATTACTTATCTCTTTAGATTCGGACCAGCATACCGAGTTGAACCATACCAAATTTACCCATTTTGAATTTTGTCGTAAAATGTCGTATTTTGCAAACAAATTGGTGTATCGTTACGAAACTCGGATTGTGTCTTTGAAATTGCAGTATTTATTATACATGATTTATCTGTGTACATCATTAATTTGTAAAACATTCGTGTGCCCTCATAATTTTTTATCAAAATAATTTCCCCTCCCTCTTGCAACATTTCCTTTTGATTTAGTTTGTTGAAGTACTAAAATAACTAAAATTAAATAAACTGACACTAAAATCAAAAACTTATGAATAAAAATGACAAACAACAAAATTACTAAACTTTAAAATTAATCAAAACTTTTTCATTGCTTGAAATAAAATAAGTATTAACTGAAATTATGTAAAATATAAAAAACCTAAACTTATTTTATTTACAGTCTGACATTAATGACAGCTGGAGTCTCTCAGTGTGATGTGGCTAATAGCTGGGATCGGTCTGACAAGCAACAGTCATAAAGGACTGTTATAAATCATACAGCGTGCACTCCACTTAAAGGAACACCTGGATGTGGTCTAATATAATACCCATACTGAAACCTGTGATAAACTAGTATCGTTCTGTCCACAGGGGTGCGCTACAACGCTCAGCTGACAGTGGATGACTGCTTTGACATGGGGAAACTGGCCTACAATGAGAATGACTACTATCATTCAGTGCTGTGGATGCAGCAGGCGCTCAGACAGATGGACTCGGGAGAAGACGCCAAGACGCCCAAAGCTGATATTTTAGATTATCTGAGTTACTCCGTCTATCAGATGGGTGACCTGTCACGAGCTATCGAACTCACCCGACGCTTGGTGGCCATCGGTAGGCCATCTCTCTCTCTCTCCTTGTTATGTTTGAACAGCAAATTGTCACTAGATGATCATTAGGAAATGTAATAGCCACATAAAATCACACAAAACTCTTATATGTATTACATGGAATCTAAGAAAAATATCTGATGCCGTTTTTTTGGCTGTATTTCTCGACCATTGCAAATTGCATGTCCTGTGCTGTGTGTACTTGCAGATCCCAGCCACCAGAGGGCAGGAGGAAACCTGCACTACTTTGAGCGGCTGCTCTCTAAGGAGCTGAGGGACTTGGGTCGGAGCCAGCAGGAGCCTGCGGACGAGAGGCCCATTCAGCTGGACACTTATGAGCGGCCCAAAGACTACCTGCCCGAGAGAGAGGTGTACGAGGCCCTCTGCAGGGGAGAGGGAGTCAAAATGGTGAGCGCAGCTTATATCCCAAATGCACAATGAGGGAATTATTTGCCCTTTTCACTTTATTGCTTTTGTAAGCCGTGATTATTTTGAGTCATTTACAGTGTCTCATGTTTTAAACTTTCATTATATTATATACTGGTCAAAAGTTTGGAATAATTAGGATATTTTTAATGTCTTTGAAAGAAGTCTTTTTTTCTTTGATTAAAAATACAGTAAAAACCGTAATATTGTGAAATATTATTACAAATAAAAATTTCTGTTTTCTATGTGAATATCTGTTAAACTGTAATGTATTTCTGTGATGCGCAGCTGTATTTTCAGCATCATTACTCCAGTCTTCAGTGTCACATGATCTTCAGAAATCATTATAATATGCTGATTTGCTGCTTAAGAAACATTTCTGATTATTATCAATGTTGAAAAAAGTTTTTTTCTGCTTAATAGTTTTGTGTGAACTGTAATACACTACTGTTTAAAGGTTTGGGGTATGTACAGTTTTGCGTTAAACAGGATGCATTAAATTGATCAAAAGTGACATTAAGAAATTTATAACAATGCAAAAAAATTATATTTTAAGTAAATGCTGTTTGAATTTTCTATTCATCAAAGAATACTGGTAAAAAAATTTATATATATATATATATATATATATTAAGCAGCAAAAACTGTTTTCAACACTGATAATAATAAGAACCAAAATACTTGAGCACCAATAATAATTAATAACAACTCATCAGCAAATCAGCATATTAAAATGATTTCTGAAGGATCATGTGACACTGAAGACTGGTGTAATGATGCTGAAAATCGCAGCAATAAATTTAATTTTACAATATTTTCAAATAGAAATTAGTTATTTTAAATTGTAAAAATATTTTGCGATATTTCATTTTAACTGTATTTTTGAACAAATAAATGCAGCCTTGGTGAGCATGAGGGACATCTTTCAAATGCATTAAAACATCTGAATTATTCCACACTTTTATAATAAATACATACAATATAAATATGTATATTATGCAGACAGTATGAAAGGAAACAAGATTGCGATTCTATCTAACTAACACGTTAACACACAAGTAGGGATGCTCTGATCAGGATTTTTGCAGCTGATACTGAGTACCGATTTCTTGTCATGGTGATCGGCCGATACCGATGCAGATTCTGATGCTTCAAGCTTTATATAGACGGTTTCTGCAACGATTTGTATCGTGAAAAGCGCTATACAAATAAACTTGAATTGAATTGAATCGGCTGATACCGATGCAGATTCTGATGCTTCAAGCTTTATATAGACGGTTTCAATGGGCGCACGCGCCTGGCCCGAAGTTGACTTCGGGTCTGTGTTTGTTTATCAGTCTGGCTATGAGTAGACTGAAGTTGGGCTCATGTTCCGTCCTCCACGCTGTGACAACTCACAAAAGACTATTTTTAAACAAGCAGTGCGGAGAGGCGCTTCAGAAACGTGCCGCGGCTGGCTGATAAACACAAGCACTGACTAGAGCGGCCGCGATCAGCTACGGTGGCCGTGGAGCCGTAACGCGTCGCAGACGCATGCAGTGAGGCGCAGATCAGCTCTAACGTCACTGAATCTGCTGTGTAGATGAATCATGCAAAACATACACGACAAACAGCGAATTTTTCATTGTTTCTCGAAACGTCATAGCATTTCCACACCGGCAATGACATGACTGCGGCGCCAAATCATTTATGTCCCCACACATCATGTACGTCGTAACGCGTTGACGACATCAAATTGCGATCGGTTCCTGAGATCGGCCAAGTTGGTGAGTACCGATCGAGTCATAAAATACGATTATCGATCGATCGGAGCATCCCTACACACAAGTCTTGTGGCTGTAGTTTCGAATCATTGTGTATTTTAATGTTTATTTCTGTTCAGTGTCTTGCCACATAGAATTCTATTCATCCAGTCTTTATCTAAATCTCAGTTTAAACTTGAATACATAAATGTAAATAAACAAATCATAAAATTAGCAGTAGGTTGTTATAAAAAGCTATAAAAGTTTTTTTCCCTCTTAATTTCCCAACAGACTTCAAAGAGACGTAGCAGACTGTTGTGCCGTTATCAGGATGGCAACAGGAACCCGCGTCTGCTGCTCAAGCCAATGAAGGAGGAGGATGAGTGGGACAGTCCTCATATCGTTCGCTTTCTGGAGGCCCTCTCTGATGAAGAGATAAAGAAGATCAAGGAGCTGGCCAAACCCAAGGTGAGTGTGCAGATGGACACAGATGGACAGTATATCGGCATGAGTCTAAATACAATCCATATATAGACCATGGACAGTATATAGATTTATATAGACGCATATAGACGTCTGTATGACATCTATATGCGTCTATATGGACAGTAAATAGGCATGAGTCTATACTGTCCATATATAGACCATGGACAGTATATAGACTCATAGACCCATATAGATGTCTATATGACATCTTAATGCGTCTATATGGACAGTATATAGGCATGAATCTATATACTGTCCATATATAGACCATGGACAGTATATAGACGCATATAGACGTCTATATGACACCTATATGCATCTATATGGACAGTATATAGGCATGAATCTATATACTGTCCATATATAGACCATGGACAGTATATAGATTCATATAGACGCATATAGACGTCTATGACATCTATACGCGTCTATATGGACAGTAAATAGGCATGAGTCTATACTGTCCATATATAGACCATGGACAGTATATAGACTCATAGACCCATATAGATGTCTATATGACATCTTAATGCGTCTATATGGACAGTATATAGGCATGAGTCTATTATATATATATATATATATATATAAATATAATTATACACATCAACATGTGACATGTGAGTACACATGTGAGTATGTGTTTTTTTTGACATTGACACATCACCTGTTTAAAATCTGAATGTGAATGCAAAGCTAATTATGAGTTGTTCTCTGTAGCTTTCAAGAGCCACAGTCCGAGATCCAAACACCGGTGTTCTGACGGTCGCCCATTACAGAGTTTCCAAAAGGTGAGCTCGTATACATCAGTTCATTTAATGGTATTCATGTCTGGCTTGATAAGAACATAAGGTGACTCGGGATGGACGGTATGACCGTAGAAAAGTGTTCATTTCGCTATATGACACCTATATGCATCTATATGGACAGTATATAGGCATGAATCTATATACTGTCCATATATAGACCATGGACAGTATATAGACTCATAGACCCATATAGATGTCTATATGACATCTTAATGCGTCTATATGGACAGTATATAGGCATGAATCTATATACTGTCCATATATAGACCATGGACAGTATATAGACGCATATAGACGTCTATATGACACCTATATGCATCTATATGGACAGTATATAGGCATGAATCTATATACTGTCCATATATAGACCATGGACAGTATATAGATTCATATAGACGCATATAGACGTCTATGACATCTATACGCGTCTATATGGACAGTAAATAGGCATGAGTCTATACTGTCCATATATAGACCATGGACAGTATATAGACTCATAGACACATATATATGTCTATATGACATCTTAATGCGTCTATATGGACAGTATATAGGCATGAGTCTATATACTGTCCATATGTAGACCATGGACAGTATATAGACTCATAGACACATATATGTCTATATGACATCTTAATGCGTCTATATGGACAGTATATAGGCATGAGTCTATATACTGTCCATATATAGACCATGGACAGTATATAGACGCGTATAGACGTCTATATGACATCTATATGCATCTATATGGACAGTATATAGGCATGAATCTATATACTGTCCATATATAGACCATGGACAGTATATAGATTCATATAGATGCATATAGATGTCTATATGAATATATAATATATAAAGCTGCTTTGAAACAATGTGTATTGTGAAAAGCGCTATACAAATAAATTTGAATTGAATATATAGACCATGGACAGTATATAGACTCATATAAACAGTATATAGACGCATTTGACTAGATTAAAGAAGTAGTTCACCCTAAAATGAGTTTTTAAAAATTTTTTATAACAAGGGTTAATTTCCCCTAAATAATCACACATACCATAAAAGCCTATTTGTGCTTTTATTCTGAATTATGAATAAGACAGAAAGCTTTTGTTTCACATCAAATGCATGTTTGTTAGTGTAGTCTTTTACTTTTATATCTGGACTCAACTAAATCTTTTGTTCTTGAGTTATTTGTTTTAATGTGTTGCTACTATCTGACAGTCACTGCCTCCAAAGATGCTAATTTGAAGAAACAGGCTTAGTATTAGGGATGCACCAAAATTTCGGCCGCCGAAAATGGCATTTGGGCGCACCGCACCGCCCACTAAATAATATAGTAATTTTAAATAAAATTAATTATTATTATAAATATTGATATTTAATATTAATATATTTTCTGTTCAATTGTATTGTTACTTTCAATAAAAGTGTGGTTATTTTATTGGCTTGTGTTTTTTTTTTAAATTTAGTATCATTAAATTAAAAAGTCTTACAAAATTACTTTATATTATTTAATAAAAAAATTATTATTCATTAAATTAAAAAGTCTTACAAAATTACTTTATATTATTTAATAAAATAATAAATTATTATTACAACGCATTTTCGGTTTCATTTTTCGGCCCAGAATTTTCATTTCGGTGCATCCCTACTTAGTATTGATAAAAATGTTAAGATTAAAAAATGTATTGCACGCATTTGTTTTAGTGAGCACAGGGCACAAAGATAAACAAGATGCTGTAAAATAAAAAAAATTATTTAAACAATTGATATCCACATTAAATAAAAACTATTTACAAACCAAACAAATGTAATTTGCTGTCTGTAATTATAATACTTAAATATCATTTTTCTTTTGTCATTTGAGCTTAAAGGGAACGTCATATAAAGCTTTCGCTGATTTAATTTATGAACTTTAACCACTTACATTACTTTCATTGTGAAGACAAACTGGACGCAGCGAAAAAAACAACAATAATCACAGGCTTCATAAGAAATTAAAAATGAAGTCTAATAGTCTTGCTACATAGAAATATGGAGTTGATAGATGAACCTGAGAGACTTATTCATGGTCACAATTAAACAAAGCAATTTTGTTTTATTTTATCAGCTTATGACAAACTAACAAATTTGTTTAGCTTATATATTAAAGTTGTGATCAAACGGAAGTAGTGACAGATCTTTTTTTCCGTATTGATAAATCAGAGTGTGACATTATCAAAAAAGAAAAGATGTTGGGCGGGACTTGGTTCTGTGCATCGGTTGTGGATTGGCTGTTAAGATGTGGGCGTTGCATTCAGTGGAGACAGATGAAAGCAATCTTTCAGTTTAAGCGATCTAAATGATTGTCCTGCATACGTGGACGGTATGACCGTAGAAAAGTGTTCATTTCGCAATACGAAGCATATCACAGTAGATATATTTGCGTGGATATTGATGGAAATCTTGTGCTCAATTGCTGATATTCAGAACAGCATCACTCTTGATCATGTGATTGCTTGAATAAACTGGATTTGTCATTATATTCATTACAAAATAAGTATATTATGATATACCCTTACTGTAATGTAAAATTTTTCATTCTGTGATTTGATCATAGTTTTCACCCCTAGGCAATACATTAATAAGTGTACTTATTTGATATTGAAACACAGCTGTTGAACAGAATTTTGCCCATTTCTTGTTTTGTGATGATGTTCTTGTCTTCTGGTGTGTCTGCAGCGCGTGGTTAGAAGAGGAAGATGATCCAGTGATCGCTCGGGTCAATCAGAGAATAGAGGACGTCACTGGATTATCTGTAAACACTGCAGAACTTCTACAGGTCACTCATCCAAAATACTCCAGAAAATCACACACACAATCTGTGGTCTCCATAGGCTGCAGTCTCACACCATATCATATCATATATCATATATATCATATCATATATCATATAATATATCATATATATCATATCATATATCTCATATATCATATGTCTCATATATCATATCTCATATCTCATTTATCATTTATCATATAATTTATCATATATCATTTATCATTGATCATATATCTCATATGTCATATCATATCTCATTTATCATATATCATAGCATATATTATATCATTTATCATATCATATATCATATATCATATATCATATCATTTATCATTTATCATATATCATATATCTCATATATCATATATCATATAATTTATCATATCATATATCATTTATCATATCATATATCATATATCATCATTTATCATATATCATATCATATATCTCATATATCATATCTCATATATCATATATTATATATCATTTATCATATCATATATGATATCATATATCATATATCTCATATCTCATATATCATTTATCATATCATTTATCATATCATTTATCATATCATATATCATATATCTCATATATCATATATCATATATCATATCATATATCATATCATTTATCATATATCATATATCTCATATATCATATATCATATATATCATATCATTTATCATATGTCATATATCTCATATATCATATATCATATATCATTTATCATACATATCATATATCATATCATTTATCATATATCATTTATCATATATCATATATCATATCATTTATCATATCATATATCATATATCATTTATCATCATATGTCACATCACAGTAGAATGTACTTCTGAAATTAATATTAATAATACCATTATTAAAACCTAATTTAAGGAATAATCACAAACCATTCTCTTCCATGTTTTAAATTTAACAATAAACATCTGTTGTGCAGCACTTTGTTTGTCAAAAATAAAAGGAATTGTTACATTTTCACTTGATTTACATTTTAGAAGTTTAAATTATAATATAGTATAATATAGACTTTAGAGACAGTATTGCATATTATATTATAATATAATATGGAATAGCATATAGAAAATAATGCACGTTAAAATAACAGCAATCATATTTGGTCACACTTTATTTTAAGGTCCAATTCTCGCTATTAACAAACAATTAACTATGACTTTTGCCTCAATAAACTCCTAATTTGCTGCTTATTAATAGTTAGTAAGGTAGTTGTTAGTTTAGGTATGGGGTCTATTAAGGGATCTAAAATATGATCATGCAGAATAAGACATTAATATGTGCTTTATAAGTACTAATAAACCGTTAATGTGCTAGTAATATGCATGCAAGGTAATAGTGAGAATTGTTGTTAAAATAAAGTTTCAGATTGTTGACCCACATGATTTAATTTGCACACAATGCTTATGTAAACAGTGAATTGTCTCTGTTGTGATTCTGATACAGAATTTGTGGGAAAAGGGTTTTCTTATAACTTCTGTTGAATCTTAGGTGGCTAACTATGGCGTTGGAGGTCAATATGAACCACATTATGATTTCTCAAGGGTAAGACCTTTGTGCAAGAACAGTGGCATGTGCATGAAGAAATATCAGAGACCGTTTTTATTAAAAACAATGCAATGGCATATTTATATTTCTCTGATAGTTAAGAAAATGTATATATCAGTGGGACTTTTTTTTTTACTGTCAGCTGACACACAATATCCATTTCTCATCTTTATCCATATTTTGTACATAAAACATTTGTTGAGACCCATTCCAATTGCGGTTGGAGGAATTACGTTAGATTAGAATTAACTCAAGAATAAAGACTGAAATTAAATAAGGTGTATACGTTAAGTTATTTAGTTCTAATGTTCATTGTCAATCACAGAAATACGGCTTATTATCAACAAGGTTTATTATTTATGATAAATAACAGAAGCATGGATGTGGGTAAGGCCAAAATAAACAAAGTAATCACTAGCTACTGAGGTGGTCAATCTAAACTTGCCTAAAGAAAAGGAAAAAAATAAGATTATTATGATAATTATTGAAAGTTTTATTCTTTTTAATAATATGTTTTATGTGGAATATAGTGTGTCACCTGATGGCAAAATCCCATTTAAAATGTATCTAAGGGTACGTTTACACGACAACTATGTTCTGAAAACAGAACAGTTTTTCCTTCGAATTTTTGTGAAAGTTTTGCATGCAGACGACAACGTCAAAATGATGTATTATTCATGCCAGGCCAGTAGATGGCGATGTCACTTTGTAAAGAAACACTACGCACATACGCATTCCTGTAGACATGTAATATGCATGTGTATGACGTCACTGTTTACACGAAATTCACATTTATGTAGTTTGCACAGAGATGATAATGGTATAATTTTCAAAAACTTGTACTTTGAAACTCGTTTTCAAAAATGTATTGCATTTTCAGGCCCCCAATAGGTGGTTGTCATGTAAATGAATGGCCAAAAAGCATCAAAAGTTTTCCATTTTTAGTTGAAAATGGTCGTGTAAACGCCCCCTACAGTAAAAGGTTGGAATGGCAGCTTACAGTGCACATTTTTATTGCTGGTGGTAATAAATTTCCTGACAATGTCATAGGGATTTTTATTGCTTATGAAAATGGGAATGCATTAGACATTTTGATTTTGACGAAAGTACCACATAAACCACTGGCGCTGAACTATTCTCCTAAGAAGATTATTTTACATTGAGTACATGTTTGTAAATTGATTTGACAGCCAACACTCAGCTTTTATGTTGTCATATTGAAGATAAAGTAACGTTGCCTCAGAGGCGGAGATGTTCCACTGCTGCACTTCAGTCTGGTTTAAAAGTTACAAACGTCTGTTGCAGCGTCCTTTTGACGGCAACCTCAAGGTTGATGGAAATAGACTTGCCAGCTTTCTGAACTACGTAAGTACATGTGTTGTGCTTCTGCTTCTCTGCCTGTCTTTACTCTAAAATTTTATCTTCATAGAAAGATGAACCTGATGCTTTCAAATCATTAGGCACTGGAAATCGTGTGGCTACTTTTTTAAATTATGTAAGTATGTGTATCTTGTGGTGCCTGGTATTGCTCTTGTCTTGGCATCAGGTCTTGTAATATAAATCCACATGAACACTACACTACAGCAGTGGTTCTCAACCAGGGACAACAAGACAGAACACGCATCAAAAGAAGCCAAACAACTCAAAATATGGATTTAAAAAAAAAATTGAATTCACACCTTCAACGACTGTTTGTTTGCATTGAAGAACCAGGATTCACACTGTCTGGATGTATGAGGGGGCCGGTTTTTAAAAGTGAGATTTATAGACCTGGAAAAGTCTGTATCAATTGTAAAAAGTATTTAAAAAAATCTAGTAAGTTATGAACAACTGAAACAGTTGTTCTGGATAAAATGGGCGTCTTGCTTGAGAATCGGTGCATTACACTTTCACAGCACTTTTAAGGCCACTGTGCATATTTTGTGACAATATAATATCTTTGAATAGCAGATACACTTAATCCAGACTGTTACATAGCACATTAAAAGACAACACAATGATAAAAATAAAAGCAAGACTCCCTTTATATAGTTATATAGCATAAATGTAAATGGCACCAAACATGCCATGACTTCTGGGTAGTGCTATTTACAATATTTACACAAATGCAAAAAGAAAGAAATGCACTTAAATACAATACAATGATGAAAATTGGCTTCTTAGTATTACTTTTGTTTCTAACTTGCCTTTATTTTGGACAGAATTTGTATCTTTTGCATTAAAAAAATCACACTCATATTCTGCATTATATAGTACTTTTTAAAAATATTTTTCCACAACAAAAATGTGAAACTCTGATGGCATACCATGTTGTACTGCTTTGCGGTGAAAGTTGGATGTTGAGAATCTTTCTTCATTACAGATGAGTGATGTTGAGGCTGGTGGGGCGACGGTTTTCCCTGATTTCGGTGCTGCTTTTTGGCCTAGAAAGGTATGGACAATTTTTTTAAACCTTTAATAAAACATGAATGAAATCATTACATCAATGATGATGATACTGCAATAATCACTTTTTTGTTACATATTGTAGCTATATGCGGTATATGTAGAAGATACAGTATTACACGTGCTGAAATACTCCTGTTACATTGTGTATAAGATAAAAGCAAGCATTGACCGAATAATCGACTAATATTTGGTTATTTGAGATTATTGCATTGCTGAATAACGGTTACCTTTCCCTTGTATCAGTTCCTAAATCTACTAACAGCCTTGTCGATATGTAACACACATTTTGAAAGAATATATATTTTTAGAATCTTTAATTTTATTTCTTAATCTGATATGATTATTTTAAATCCTTTTTATGTAAAGCGCCTTGAAGTGCCATTGTGTATGTAATGTGCTATACAGTAAATGAACCCACCTTGCCTTAAATATTGAGCACTGATGGGAAGATCGGATCACTTTACTGACTCTCTCGTTCAGTCTTGTTCATTAAAATGAACTCATCTTTAAGTCATTTTGTTCATTTGAGTGGCATTAAATGTTAGATTGTCAACAGCCAAGTTCCCCGAACACATCCACCTACGTAATCTTGATCATATTCTGAATTAGGAAATAATTATAATGCAGCCAAAGATAATTTATAAAGGACATAAATGATTACTTTTGTTCATTTGACACAGTGAACAAATCGTTCATAAATAACCCATCACTAATAGCAAGGAAAATACGTTTTTTTTTCTTCTTATTTCTGTATTTTAATATATCAGAATTATGTCACCCATCGATCACCCTGATCTTCAAGCTTTACATCGGCTTGTTATGATCATTTGATAATTTGGTCACTCTTTATTTTAAGGTCCAATTCTCACTATTAACTGTGACTTTTACCTCAATAAACTCTTAATTTGCTGCTTATTAATTGTTAGTATATTATGCTCATGTAGAATACGAGAATAGGTCCTTAAACTAAAGTATTACCATTAGTTATTTTACAGATGCAGCATTTATTCTTAAAGGATCCTCATCTTTCTGTAGGGAACAGCTGTGTTCTGGTACAACCTCTTTAAAAGCGGAGAAGGAGACTACAGAACCAGACATGCGGCCTGTCCTGTTCTAGTCGGCAGTAAATGGGGTAAGTGGACTAAATACAGACTCGTGTGAAGTTTAGTCTTCAAACACTGCTGCCACTTGCCGTGAATAGGCTGCAGATTGGTGTACTTTTTAAATGCACAAATCCCACGTTCTTCAGAGAGAACTGCTACTACTGCTTTTAGATCATAAAATGAACATGGCATAAGAAGTAGGTTGTTTTAAATGCATCAAATGTCCATTCCTCCCCCAATTCTCATTTACAAGTCTTCTCGTTTGGCAGTTTCAAACAAATGGATCCATGAGAGAGGACAAGAGTTCAGACGCCCATGTGGCCTGACTGAAGAGGACTGATCCTGAGCTCGGTTCCAGCCGCAGTTCTGCAAACACGGACACAATCAGACACTCCAGATTCCTCAGGAACGCACATGAGTTCCAGTCAGGCAGGCTGGGGTTTGTGGGCCATTTCTCTTTTATTGAGTGTTTTCATTCACCCCTTCCTTAACATTTCTTGGCAGATTAAACCGGAGTATTGTGTCATGACGGAAATCCCATCGTGTTTATGTAATGCATAAATTATTGTCCTGTTCTTCAGTGTTTATTTTAGATTCTTATATGGTTTGCAATAAAATGTCTGAATTTGAAGTCATGTTTCTTCGTCTGCCTTTTGAGGAGCTGTTTGTATAGAAATATTTTGATTCAACAGAATTTATTACACAAACTTTTGTAATGTTGTAATGTTTGTTGTAATGCAAACTTTAATGTTAGGCTACAACAACCATAAACTGCATCTGAATTGATATTTAGATATATTTACAGACCGCTTATTGCAGCTCAGATGTGGCATGAATGCATTTACACTGCAATTACAATTTCATAAATAATGCTATGAGATTAATGGGTTTTAAATGGGTATTAAAGGGGATAATTCACCCAAAAATTTATTATTCACCTTCATTTCCTGAATGACTTAATTTCTTGTGTGGAACAAAAAAAAAAAAAAAGATAATTTGACAAATTTTTCCCCATACAAGTCAGAAGTCAGTAGTGACTGAAACAGTTTAGTTGCCAACATTCTTCAAAATATCTTCATGTTTCACAAAAGAAAAATGCCATTCAGGTTTGAATCGACATGAATAATTAATGACAGAATTTTCATTTTGGGGTGAATTATCCCTTTAATGGGTGTTTTATTAAAATGGAAATGTGAAATTTAAATATGTTAATGAGTAGGCTGTGGGCTGCGTCTGAAATCGCATACTTCCCTACTAGGCTATACAGTAGGTGAAAAACAGTATGTGACAAAAGAATTATGTCCAAATTCACAGTACTCGTAAAAGAGTAGGCAAAAGTACCCAGATGACCTACTGCTTCCGTCATGATTCTGAATGTACAGCACTTTGGTCCATTTTTATGGTTTTGAAAGTGCTTTATAAATAAAGGTTGAGTTGAGTTAAAAATGTTGAACGACTCACCACCAGCACAAACAATCTCTGTAATGACCTCTTTCTCAATCAGATTTGATACTGTAATGTTTTTGCTGTAAACACATGATGCAACCACAGTTCTCTTTTCAAAGGGAAGACCTCAGTGTCTTCTGGGTTTGTTACCTGGTGTAATTACCTGGTGTAAGCTTGTCTAATCATAGGAGATGATTCAGTCAGACAGTAACACAATTAGCTATAATCTGTTTTCTGGAAAGGTCTGACTTAACTCACCACACTCGCACCATTAGCACATAGAGTCTAGTTTTGACCCTGAACAGAATAAGACTGAACGTTCAGCTTCACAAACGGCTCGAAATGGAGGCAAAGTGGATGATTTTATTGTTCTCAACATGCTGGAGTTTCTGTGGTGCTGTAAATGAGTTCTACTCTTCAACAGGTTAGTGTGTTGTATTGCAATAAGATGAGAAAACAAGAATACTTTGCTCTTTAACCATATTTGTTTTTGTAGATGTGCTAACATACCTGTTTTAAAATGAAATGCTGTGTGCAGATCATATGACGCAGCTTACTGACATCAAAACACAGTTTGCCAAGAGTCTTCATGAATATATAGAAGCACTGGAGAGCCAAGCAGAACTTCTGAGAGGGTAAGTGTTGCTTGTGGAGCTGATACAGAGGAGGGCAAATGAACTGTAAAAACAGAAAATGACAGAATATTTCAACTGACAGAGCCACAAGAAACTTTTTTAGGATTACAGAAAAAAAGTTTAAATGATAAAAGAAAGTGTAAAAGTTTAAACTTGGTAGTATGACGAGAGGAGAGAATGAGATTAGTAAATGTTTAATATTTAGTAAATGCATAGAGCATATTATAAACAGCTACACAAACAGTGAAAGCATGTTAGTTTAGGTTATAGATTATATTAGGTTATATTTCGTTGGTTCATATATAGGTCTAATTAACCCCCGATGCTCTTCATTTAGGAGTTAAATTCATACTCCTCGTGATACTATATTTTAGTTCAATAGTATTTTTTTATCCAATATTTTGTATTTGTATTTCATGGTACTAAAGTATATTCACTACTAGATTATTCAACATTTATGTCTTTATGTAACGATAAAAATATTAGAAAAAATATAACAAATCAAATATAGAATTTTTTTTTTCAAATCCATTTAATGGAGGCAGATTAATCAGGTGGAAAGAAATAAAATCATCTGTAATGGTGTAGCTGCTAGATGCCTGCATAACCGATATAAATATACTTTCAGGGCTGTGCTTTCACTATTTGTTGAGAACAGTGTTTTCAGGCTTAATATAGTTAGGTTTTGCGTTTGGATATATATTTAAACATTATCATTATCTATGTTCTGCCAAAGTTTAGTTTAAAAATGTGACACAAATGAGCAGGAATGCTTTTAAAGAGCTTAATCCATCTGAGTCTGAGCTGATTTTAACTTCTTAGTTGAGTCTGTTGGCCCAGTTTTACCATACATATTGCCATTAATTGCCAATATAGTGCCATGCATTGTCAGTCACACCAGTTCATTTGTGTGTGTCTATTTTGGACTATTTTTGATGTTTCAGAGTTTGCTGTGTGCTTTATTCTGCATTGTGGCTGATTTGTCGATTGTAACCCAAAAAATCTCTGTATTTTCATATTTTTTTCCCCTCTGACATCATTTTGACCATGAAGAATCTATTTTTTTATGACCATTTTGCCTTTTCCAGTTGTCAATTTTGTGTGTATGCTCATATAGCCAGTGCTTGACCGAAGAGCAGCAAAGGGTTAAAAATAAACTATTTATAAATTAATCAAATTAATATTAATATTTCATTTTAAATCCTCAGAAATCATACATTAAGCCTACAAATGTTGAATCTATCAAATAATGAGACTATAAGTCGAGTGTTTGTTCATGATCAGTATCACACACGCACACACACACA